CACACTGGTTCCCGGAGATATGCATACTGCAGCCACAACCCCCCATTCAACCTGTAGGGTTATGAACCTCTGTTTAGATCGCGACAAGCTTCTCGAATGGGAGGAGATCCCCCCACAGTCCATCTGTTCGAACAGGCATACCCCTGTAAACGCAATCCAAGCTCACTGCATTGCATATCCTTGAGCCGGGTGACCGTGGGAAATGAGTTGAGTTTGGAATCGAATTATGGAAGAAGCTTGTTAGCAAGGCAACGGCTTTGCGACAGGGATTGGCCTGGTTCGAAGCTATTGAGTTCATCTAGCGATTTTCCCTATGTTAGGTTTTCATTCTTTACTCTTTCTTCTTTCTACTAGTGTACTTTTTTTTACGTACACAGGACAAGGACACGGACAAGGACGATTGTCTATGTACAGCCGAGCGATCTTCCACAAAGAACGATTCACTGTATTTTTTAGTATTTTTCCCTCTTCTCCCCAATAGGGAGAAGGCAGCCGGGGCGCAAAACACCGTTTCGAAAATATACATCGTATTCAAAATTATCCAAGGATACAAGCCGCTTCCTACCTACTCCGTTTACAGGACAAAATTTCCCGCACTGACGGCAATATCGCAGACGGGAATATAAAATTTCTTGGCCACCCCATCAGTCCTTGGACTTGGACTTGGGTTCCCGCAAAAACGGGAATGGGAAATTAAAATGAGATCTAATCCTGGGCGGCATTGCGGATATTGTGGAATGGACCAAGAAAGACCCCTCTCTCCCGATCCCTCGGAGACGTTCTCCCAAGTGGAGTAGGGGAATATTTGTGGGACGGGATGTTCTATACGATGAGAATATGGTTTGATGTCAATGGTTACTAGTAGTAGCGCTGTGTTCGTGGCACGATGGGATCGTAGTGGCAATTTCTCCGCGCAAAATTATCGTGGCGGCCATTCAATTGACGAGTGGCAATCTGACACGCTCTTTATTACTTACCCCAAGTCTTGGGTGTAAGTAAATGAAGGAATAGTACGTGTGCCCAGCGCAATAAGGTGTGAACTGTGCAGGTGGGGATACGGACTCCGGACAAAGGATGGCACGAGCGGGATCTTTATTTGACGCTTAGAACGTCTCCTCCTCTTAGAACCCCAAAGTGAAGCGCAAGTGTATCATAATAGAATACCAGAATGGGTTGACCGGGAACACAACCGGGGAAGTGGAGTTGTTGAGAAGTAAAGAGATTGGATAGCTGCAAGCTGCAATGCATGCGCGATAGGCGGGACGGGTAAATGGGTTGGAAATAATCCGAGCATTTGGTTAGTACAGAATACAGCTGTGTATGAGGCATTTTCATATTCCTCCACCTTTTGAACTACTGCACTGCGCCAGATGCAGTTGCGTACTAAAGCCCTGTTGGCGTTCTCCGAATTGACTTTGGATATTCCTGTGAATCCTGTCTCAGATGACATATCCGTGTTCTTCCAATTGACTTCAATCCCTATCCCAATAGGCTATTCGCCTTTCGTTCTATCATACCGGAATGTCACTGCGATCTTGGCAGATGGGCATTTTTCCCAAGGACAAAGATATTGCCCTACATGTTTCACTCGCGCAAAGAGCCATACACCACTAATAGACTAATCGTTGGTCTGTGCAGGATGTCTCAATACCCCAGATCTTCGCCACATCAAAGAATCAACTGCCGAGTCGGACTCGGATGGCCAATGCCAATGCCAAGTCCACCCCGTGCCTCACACTGCGAACACCGTTCCATTGAGCAGATCTCCCCCGAACGTCACAGCCGGAACATCAACCTCATGACCTCCCCGCCAAGATAGACCTGAGGGTTCACAAAGTCATGCTCGGCAAGACAGGTGGAACGGGCAGATCAATGATCCACCCAGCAGTGTACAGTGCAAGGAGATGGCCAGTCGCTCTAGGCCGCACCGGAGGAATGCTTGGCGACGGCGCGTGGTGAAGCAAACTGCCAAGATCTAGGCATTGGATCTTCAGAATGCGCCCGGTACGACGTGAGCTGTGGTATGGAGCCGTGCTGAAGAACAATGAGTATTTCCGGGGTGACAATACGGGGTAGAAAGAGCAAGGGAGGAGAGGGAAGATAATTACGCCGAGTCTCCATAAAGGGGGTTCAGGTTGAATGATTCTATTTCGATACATGATACACCCCCTTTCTTGAAGAGATCTTGGCATTAAAACCCCTTGGATAACCATCTGCTCCGTGATAGGATTCCCTCGCTGCCAAGCACTGTGCTACATATAGCGAATTCTCAAAAATGGACTCGTTGACGCTTGGTCTCGGTAGTGCGGCTATTGAATGCAATGTATGGGGAATGGCCTCGCCAAGGGCGATCATGGTGACCATGCCGATACATGAGCGTGCATGAATACAGTGTCTTGGCACCGTCTTGATTATTTACGTGCTATTGTTTGTGCCAAGCGGTCGCGCGGTCGCACCGAGTGACAATAATGCGTTGAGTTAGGGGGTTGCAGTGGCAGTGCTGTGTGCTATTTTCTCTCGGGATCGACGGGCTACAGGCTTGGCCGTTTGACTCGGTCTGGTTCGATTGAGATTCGTAGCTTGAGTGTCGGAAGCCTGTCTATGGACTGCCTATTACCTGACTATTGATGTGCCTAGTACGGAGTATGTTGGCATAGATCTTCCCATGTACAATGAACATGGTACCTATATATAGTTGTGTGTACGATGTAAGGAGCACGATGTATATATGTACACTTCACCGTTGAGAATAGGATACGATCGACACTTCACCTCTTCTATTACGGAGTATATGTTGTAGACATACATACGGAGTAAGTATCCAAAAACCTGCGTGAATAAAGATAGCAACCTCTCATAGAGCACCGACGCCACCTTGCCAATATCGCGGCTCTTGTCATGGCTATAAGCCCTCATCCCTGCGAAGCCACGTCAGGTGCGCCCGAAGTCTTCAAACTCCAAGGCACCAGAATACTGGCCCCCGACATTTCTGACATTTCAATTCCGACGTACAATGAATGTATCGCCACTGTTCAACGCAAATCTTCTGGAAGCCCCCGCCCATGGATTTCTAGAGACTAGAACGTGGTTGGCTCTCACGTTTGATCATCGGGTGCGAAATCGACTTGCCAATGACCGTTTCAACTGGGAGGTACATGGGAATCCCGTGTTCCAAAACACGGCATCTAGGTACTTTCTAGCCCCTAAGATGACCATCTGACAGCCCCCGGTATCATGGTGGTCACATCTACAGCTAAATGCGCATGACACGGCGATGATTATTGGAACTTTTCTGTATCTCTCTACCATATACTCCGCAGGCGGCATGATATTATTTTCAATAGGGCGCCGAGCTTGACACAGGCTGAAACACGTTTCGGCTATCGCCCAGCGAAGCAGCAACATCGAATTCAGAACCAGAACCAAACCAACATCATTATCCAATATACCGCGTACAGAGTACCGAGTACAAGCAGTGTACATTGTATAATTGATTACAAAAGAAACAGGTGCCAGTTCGAGCAGTTTCAACCGTTGTCCATCGCAATAACCCCAACCACAAAGTATCCAACCACGGAAGTATCCATCGATGATCACCGAAAGAGGGAGAAGTGCGCGCTATCAGCGGGAATTGTTGCGAGCGACAACAGCCCGACCTACGTAATCGCGCAAGAACCTACAATATTACCGTTCCCTCATTCGCTCGATCGCCAGCCAATCCCCGGCCGATATGACGCCGTTTTGATCTGGGGCGCTTTGAAGGCGATTCGAGCGGTTTCGATAATACATGTTGCCGGATAAACCGGTCTGTGGATCTGCGGATGATTTGATATCATATCAGCGATGCGCTGTGATGTACCATGGGTTTGAAAATGGGGGCTTGAGCTTCTAACTTACTTCCAACGTACAATATACGTTTCAGATGGTCATTTGACCTTCTGAACTGGTGACATCATGGATGGAGATGGGCATGGCACGATGGCTGAACGCGTGGCTGGCTACTATGGTAGGGTGGCTTTTATCGTGGCGTACACTACTCCGTAGCGATGCGGTACTTTCCGAGATGGTTCTCCATCTCTACTGTACGTCAGTGCTTGCCCTATACGATGGGCGACGTTGGGCTTCTAGTATCATACAACATAGCGATCATAGATGGCCATGCGATGAGATTGTACATGTTCATTAGTAAGATAAATGTGGGTTTCATTTATTGTTGATCTTCGGAGATCTATATTGAGGCAGCCATGAGATATCTCGTCAATGGAATTATAAGGCATGATGGTGACGCTTTTGATGTTCAATATCTGATTAATATGTCTAGACTGCTTTCTTCTGATTCAATATCTTAGAATATAGTAAATTTCTCTAGCACCATTCGAGTCGTTATCCGTATGTCAAACCTGCTCTGTCGATTTGATACTACACAACACGAGTCACCGGTCTCCTTCGACCTCCGGATAATTGGATTCCATATCTGAATGGAATTTCTGTTTGAAATGTTAATTTGCATCAGTACCATACAGAAATATCTTGTCTTACTTTTGCCGCTGTCGCTTCTTGTATCCCAGCCAGCAGTATGTTTCACCGTTCATTTACCAGTATACGGCACAAAAGAACATATTAAGAAACTCTCACAGAAGTTAGGGCTGACATATACAAAGAGATGAGTCGGGTGGAATTCAGCGGATATTTTTTGGTACTTCGTGACTTCTATGACTCCTAAGGCGGAAAGTGGACCTTCTTCGATCATCGCCGAGCCTCAGACTCCGTTGGATATTCCATCACAAGATTAATATATATACTCACAAAATGATTCAGTAGAAACCTGTCGGGTAATTTGGATAGATTGAATAGAGAAAATGGCGGCTGAAAGATAATCCCGCCACATCCAACTTCCAAGCTTATCCTTTGATAGATGCCTATTCTTCCCCTCAATACGAGCTGAAATTTCTTCCTTTTTTCTATCTCTAACAACTTTCCATATTTCTACTGTCTAAGCAATGGAATCTAACCCAACATCCCCTCGCTCATTTGCCGCTTCTTATGTATCCAACTCCCGCTTCCATCGCTCCTTCACCATCGAGCCAACTCCTGCTCATGGCCCTCTCAATGTGACTTACGGTGATTACGGCCGGGAGCCCGATGAGAACGGAACTACCCCGACACTTCTCTTTATACCGGGCATGTTTTCATCGCGGTACATCGGTATTTGTCTACACGCGATTGCCGATAAATGCGGCGTCCGCGTTTTGGTTGTTGATCGGTAGGTGTACCAGCCCTTTTATATAACATGAACTAAGGTCAACTTGTATATAGTCCCGGAATGGGAAATTCCACTGACGTGCCGCTCGCGCAGCGAATGTCAACCTGGATTGAGACCGTCCCACGGCTTTTGGCCCATCTAGACATCCAGCATGTTTCGTTGGCGTCGCATAGTGCTGGCACTATGTATCTGTTCAACACCCTGTATCACTGTCGGGATATCCTATATCCCGAGAAACCGATGGCCACCCTTCTAGGTATGTTAAATTTCCTGCAGATAATTCTGTCCTTTTTGTATACATTGTTCATATTGGACGGCTATATTCCAACTTCAAAGGCCGAGATCTAACCACACGACAGCGCCATTTGTTGACCGCGCCAAATCTGGCATGACATCCTTGAAAATAGCCCAATATATCCCCGCCCCAGCCTTCAAGCTCTGGCATCATATCCCACGTCTCTTTCTCGCCAATGATGGGTCTGCAACAGCAACGAGTGGAGAAATGATTGCCAAATTCTCTGCCTCCTTTCCCTCAAAGAGCGGTGATGACCAGGCAAAGAATCGTCTGTACATTGCGCAGAACTATGGACTAGACATAGACCAGCAGAAGGAGATAGACTCTTTGATGATGCAGGGTATGTTCAAAGAGGACACGGTTGGCGCTAACAGTGAGGCGCTACAATGTCTACGGAAGGAGCCCAACACGTGGGACAAATGTGAAGACTATGAGGTCTTTGTGCGTGAGTTGGTAGAGCTCGAAAGAGGACGGGAGGGGCCGCCACTGAAAGTCCAGGCATTGTTTGCTGAGTCCGACAGCATGAGCGGCAAGAAGGGTCAAGCTTATTTTGAGAGATGCTGGCATCAGATGAATGATGGGGACTCAGAGGGTGCAATTGAATTTGATTCGAGGGTGGTTTCTGGCACTGACCATGATAGCTTGGTACCGTCTGCGGAAGTGTGGGAGAGCATCTTCAAGAAAATGTAACGAGCGGAAGACGATATCTAAATATAGTTCTTGATATCATTAGCTCTACCTGGGCTGCCGTATGTCCAGGTATACATACATACATCGGGGGCTAACGCTTCAATCATTCATTATGGAGCTCATGCAAAGGCTTCAGATTGAAGCTGATTGTCTCTATCGGCTGCTCACGCAGCCTCTGTCCATAACGACGTAACCCCTTAAGAATCTATGACCCAATGTGATATTAGGACATTATATATATGGAGATGTTCTTCTTAAAATATCTTTTCAATCGTATACAAAGATAGAAACAAAAACGTAAACCGGACAGAGAATTTTTCTATGTACAACAAGGGACAACTCCCCACGAGCTGCGAAGGCTAGCGACAATCCTTCGCTGATGGAATATTTAGATATCCAGAAAAGCGAGAATGATACACTAAGACGAAGCTGTCCAGAAATTGGGCCAGGTGCAGAAAGAGTTACAGGGACTCGAACCTGCTGCAGTTAGGTCCTCGGCCTTGTCGAGCGGTATGATTTGGCTGATCATGATGACTCTAGAGAAAGGAAGAAGAGGCGGAAGATCTCATTTCCATTGTCCAGCATCTTCCGTTCCCTGGGCGACCCGTTTCGCCCCGTTCTCAAGACCTGAGCTTGCACTACCGAGCGCATTCCCAACCGGCTCGCCAGCACTCCCCGTCGCGCTGTTGATAGTATCTCCGAGACCTCGCCCGGCAGTTCCTGTCACTCCACCCACTGTGCGGGTGACACCACCGACTGTGTTTCCAAGTGTGGAGGTGACAAATTTGGCAGCTCCAGTGGCGCCTTTGTCTTGGTTGGATTCGATCGGCATGATGGTTTGATTAATTTACGGTAGATTTGAGCGTGCTTGCAGAAATTTCTGGAATTTCGGAATGGATGTAAGAGGATAACAATTATAGAACTATAGATTGTAGTAATATGGAATCGAAAGAAACAGGTGGCAGAAGGTTGTTATATTAAGCGCGCACGCTATGACATCATTGGGTGGCACGGGTGGCAGGGTGGTTTATGACTTGTAAGAATATCAGGGAATGAGAGGGAAATGTGGCGAGGTTTTACCCAAGTGTATGCGCTCCTGCCCTCGAAATCATACATTATCCGCATGGCAGGTACATTCCAACATGTATATCAACAAGAATACGCATATGCGACCTAGGAGAATGACTTAGGAGCAGCGTCAGCTCCATCGTCTTAGGGCCATGGCTGGTCTTTCAGGATTCCTATCTTGGGCTGAGAGTCCGAAATCCATCAATAATATCAGTCTCGCGGCCTGGCAAGTGTGCGGACTGGCTCAGCATTCTAAACAAATGAGAGCTCATTTATCTTTTCAAGTGTGTGAATACCGACCTTCCAAATGGTTGCTTTCGAATTGTCCTGGACAGATTGATCACATCATCAATTAGTTGCTCGGCGAGCTCAGCGATAGCCTTGGTCTTTTAGGCCTTTTGACGTCTATCGCTTTTAGATGCAGGTTCTTGATCCTGATGCACTAGACAGAAGACGGACAGTAAACCAACCTCCAAGGTGACAGAGCGATTCGACCAACCGAAATAGAGGATATAGAACTAGCTCAACTTGAGCTTAAAGGGTGAAACAACGGATGTTCTTAGAGGTTAAGAGTACTATACATGACTGCCTCTGTTGGCCGAAGAGAGGGATCTCATGCATACACAAAAATGGCGAGTAGGATAGTTAGACAACTGCTTCTGATGACTAAATGGAAATGTAATCAACTAGCTCAATCGATGTGTTTCGAGATGTTCGATGATCAAAAACAACAAAATCGGGAACAAAACGCCCTGCCTGTCAAAACGCGGTAGGGGGGTATAATTTCAGAAATAAGACAAAGGAATCGTGAAAAATGTGAAAGAAAAGGCAAAAAGAGAAAACAAGGCCCCTTCAGAGGCGCCGAATGCCTCGGCGGCCAGAATTATGTTGGCTCTGGCGAACAGACGATCTCTGACTAGCACGTTTGCGTCGAGGTGTTTGTTCGGTCCGCTCCATCAGCTTCACCTGCTCTGTCTGCTCTCGCAGCCTGCAGGCTTTGACACCACGCCACCATCGAGTAATCACCTCATATGCCAACTCCATCCTGACTGTGGCGATAGCACACGCGCGCTTATTTCGTCGTTCTGTAAATGAGCGCCATTTCCGTTGAATAACGATGGCGGAGAAGACATGCTTCAAAGGCAGAGGCCGGGGAGTTTCAGTAGGTGGCGAATGTTCTATCTTTTTGGGGACTCTGACGGCATTCCCTCGAGTTTCACTCATAGTCACTCGCTTCATTGGCTCTATTTGCGCTTCATTGGGCTTGGTTGTTATGCGTGTTCTGAGAGTGGCATTTTGCACAGCTGGACGGGCCATTTTGGACACCGGTGAATGATTTTCTGATTTGCTTTTTTTGTTGGTGATGACGGAAAATCCAGGAGGGATATTTTCTTTGCCGCCACCTGTTCCAGGTTTATCAAGGGTTGTCGCCCCTGCCTGGAAAACCTTCAAGTTTTGCTGGAGCGGAGCTCTCCGAGTAGATCCTGTCAACGGCTTTTGTGGCTGGCGTCTAGTGTGTTGTGACTTGAAGATTTTGATCTCAGCATCCCCTGAGATATGTGGAATTGTGTCTTTGGTTTGCCGCTTGGGTGAGCTGTAAAGATCCATGAAGACGGTGGGAGTGACAGAGTCATCAGACGGAATGTATATTGTATCCCACTGTCTCGAAGACTCGTGTCTCGACAGGCTGTGAGTTCGACCTTCGTTAGGAAAACCTGACCCGACATCGAGGCTTTCTAACAAGAAGTAAAGTTTCATACTGAGTTAAGAGTTGAGTCAATTATTGTGAAAGTGAGGAGTGTGTCGGGATTGTTGTGCAGAGAAGCGGTCAGGTCAATCAAGGGATAGATTCCAACGCGGGGAAGATGCGGGGTGAGACTTGATGTTATCAACAAGCTTGAGCAACTGTACAGTGAAGTATTGAATCAATAACACAGATCGAGGATAGCCTGTCTCCAGGGCGGGAACAGTCGATTACTATGAGACCGTGTTGACCTGTGGACGGGTTGTCCAGGGCAACACGTGGGGGTCAACACGTGACATCATCAAAGTACCGAAGGATACTAGGAGTACGGATACGGAGTACACACTTCCCCTTGCTGTACGTTCTTACGAATGCAGATCGTTCAATTCGGATATGACTCTAGTCCGATATATATACTTCTTATCACTTCGCCGAAGAGGATCTAAATTCATGGCGACGCCCAAATCAGCCTTGGTTGCATGATGTCAGACTGGGATATGGCCCCTCTACAACATAGGCCCTAACCAAGAACCGATGTTTTTGTTATGGCCTAGTGACACGCCATTAGCCGGTCATGCGGGACATCCGGGAACCTGGCTTCGTCTCCAAAGTCCTGCATCCCTTTCGGGAGTTAACGGTTTCCCGCAGGCGGGCCGATATAGTCTAGAGCACCGTCATCGACCGAGTGATCTCCGATCATTCTTCCGAGGATATTGCTCATTGCGCCACTCTTCACGGTATGAAGGCATTGGGGTCAAGATCGACATTTAACTCGAGATCTAGGTCGTCTATTGATGCATCTGTGAATGCCTAGATGGATGAAGTTGAACATATCGGGATTCTGGTCACATGCATTGGTCTAATCTACTCCAATTTAGCAATGGACAAGGCCATTTTACAGCATAAACCACTTCTTCTCTTGTCCTGCGACCGCAAGTCCAACCTTCCCCTCATCAGCTAGTTTTGATAGAACCTGCGATATAAGAGGCCCCGCCATTGCCTCCATCTCGGGTCCGTAGAGACTTGCGATGATGTCCCGCGTCGTCAACGATGCCCTTGTCTTTGTGTTGGCCCCGATAAAAGCCGATAAAACCTTTTTTTCTCGCATTTCCCAATGTCTGCTCCAGACTATGAGTTTGGCTGGCAGGTCGTCAATCACGGCACCATGCCCGGGGTATCCAACTATTATCTCTTCATTGCGCACACCTTGGGTCATAACTTGCAAACTCTTCATATATGGTCCTAGATCTTCCACAACAACACTGCCTCCATGCCCAAGCACATTATCACCTGTGAACATTGCGCCGCTTTCCTCCAAGATAAAGCACATGTGGTCTTGACTGTGTCCTGGCGTGAACAAGGCTCGCAGTGTAGTTCCTTGCGCAGTAAAAGTCTGTCCATCGCGAATCGAATGTTGGCCCCGGTCCGGATGGGCCTTGTGGACCGCCGCGACCAGATGTGGATACTGAGCCAGTAGCGCCGGGAGACCACCGGTATGATCGGTATGCCAGTGGGTCAGCAGTACCTGGGAGATGCTCAACTGATGTTGGTCAAGATAGTTGACAAGAGTGGTGAGCCAGATCGGACATCCCTGTCGACATGACACTCTTGTTTAGTCTCCAAGTACTAAACTGGGATGGTCAAAATCACTCACCTGTCCTGTATCTATCAAAATCCGTTTCTGGCCACTGCCGACTAGATACGTATTGGTTCCTTGTAGTTGCATGTTGCCTGGATTTCCGCCGAGTATTCGAACCACCTCTGTGCTGAGTTTTGCGACAGCTGGGAGATATGGCAGTCCAGCGTTTCGGGCAGATAGATATTCCTGCCACCCTGGCTGCGTCCACACTTTCGGAGGGGACATGTTTCTTGTTGATCGACTCTGGATGCTCAGGTAGGTACCCAGGCTTTGCGATTTGAGTAAGTAGTGTTGGAATTGAAAGGTGGGGTCCATTCGATTTTGGGTCATGCACGGCTGCCTGATATACCAGGTTTTTATCTTCAGGCTACCCAACTTGAATATTTAGAGACTCCGGTATGTATGTATGGCTTCAATGAAATCTGACTTTTACGATCCGACAAGACTTTCTAGTCGATAATCATCACAGTACCGATCCATCGCCTCCACCTTGCATGTATCCCAATTCAAGATGCTAAGTAAGACCTGACATATTGCAACTGGAAAATTGAAAATCAAATTTATTCGTATTGCGAGGGCAAAAGAGTCAGTTCGGCAAGTATGCGAATAGCCAACCTCCTTGCTAGAGATTTGCACCTGCTAATATCTCTCGCGAGTTTGGTCCTAGTATTACCGAGCAATTGCGCTTGAATTAGGAGGAGCATGATCGTCGTTCTAGAAGCATCAGGGATGGTGATCTATTCCCAAAATGGATATATACAGCTGGCAGATTATACTCGATGACTCAGCATTGTGTGCATAACTCACTAGTTACATGTCTAGAGGGCTCGCTTGCATGCAGCATACGGCTCGACAGATGGACATCGTACGAACCTTGTTGGTCCATTGATCAGATTGGCTGGAAACTAGCCATATAAATCCACATGTATATCGTACTTTTATGTAACCTCTAATCTCCTTTAAATTACCTCGACACCCTTACTTATAAAATCATCATCGCCAGGAACAAGTAAGTGGGTCAGGTCTAAATTAGACTCTCGTGACCGGGAGACCTCCTTTCCCCGGATGTGCCTCAACGTGGCCCTAGGCATTTTCAACCTTTAACATTTACATTCTTTTGTGCTCGGTACTTTTCTCTTTGCCCGGCGCCTGTCGTTTTGCGACATGGATCTCTTGTGAGCGCCTGTCTTATCACCTGTTTTGTGTCACCACTCGCCCACCTCCTCCGCTGCCCTGTCACCGCGGCATGATCCCGCAACATGGAATCAATCGTGTATGAGAACTCGCCTTTGGCCGAATATTTGGAAGGTTCGCTATGTCCGTGACACGCGAGGAATATAGGTCCACTGACAGCCGTGCTAGGGGAGGGTGGAAACGAAGAAAGTTGGCCCGTGGAGGAGAATCAGAGCGACGATGATCATACCCGTTCCTCCGACTTCGCCCCTCGAGGGGCTTCCAAATTTCAGGATCGCGTTAGAAACAAGCTACCGAAGCCTCTCAATCTACGAGGCACACCGCAGGGGGAACTCATCGGGAAACTATATGGCTCTTGCTCAGTACGCGACCCTCCACGATTGAACAGGATCATACTAACACTTCTTCTCGCTAGTCCGCCCTGAACGTCCGACTACCACGAAGCGATAATAAACGATTTTTGGAACAATTTGGCTACGTCATTGTCGCATCGCAACTGTTGAACGAACACAGCGCTCCTTCCTACACTTCTGCTGCAGATGTCTTATCTGCAAAACAACCTTCGGATCTTCCGTCGCTATCTACAACTTTTGGGGTTCAAGGCGCCATTGTCACAGCTGCCACATCATTTTCTATCGCTTGGTTGCTACATTGGAGCCGTTCGAGGACTGGGTCGGGATTCAGTCTCAAGAAAGTTGGAGTGCTATTGATACTTGTGCCCGCTGTCGGTGTCTTTTTCTATGCTTTCGCAAAACGGCAATGGTTGAAATATCTCCGGCACCAGGCTGTTGAGGCAGCTGGCGCTTTCATTGGAAACGCCCAGGGGTTTGATTCTGCTGCGTCGGCTTCTGTGGTCTTTATCCAGGAGGTTGAACTTGTATCAAGAGGCTATCGGATGTGAGAACGCGATTCTTTTTATCCAAGATGATAACAGGCTAACGAATTATCACAGAAGCACTCCTCTACCGCCCATCAGTCGGCTGGAAGATCTAGTACAAACGCGACGATGCTTGAGATTGCGCCGAGCGGTTTCCGAATGCTTCTACTCTATGCTCGAGCGATATATTCAATCCCAGAACACCTTACGCCCACTTACCGATGAGGGCGATCTTGCGAAGTATTACGACATTTATGACATTGGACTGGAAGAACTTGAAGCGGTTGAGGCATCCCTGTCGCAGCGAACTAACGAAGACCAGTATTCATTACGCTCTCTAAGGGATCTATTTGGAAAACTGTACAGTGTGAGAAAAAGCGTTCTGTGCTGCTTGCTAGCCCTTAGCGCCGATGGGGGTGGCTCCGATATTACTCGGTGGAGTTCAGCTGTCGAGGAAATGCGTGAGCTAGCTGCGGCCACCGGCAACAGCATGCTGAAAATGACAGCAATCTTAAATGAGGAGGACCGTAAGTACTAATCTGTGTTGTATGACACGGACGCTAGCTAACATTCGCAGGTGATATCATCCCTCCATCTCCATTACCTTCCGCCTCACCAAGCAAGGATCACCTGCGTGCTCAATTTCGACGGCTCACCTCTTTGTCACAAGGGGTCCGTGCCTTGCATGCTAAAATGCACATTGCCAGCGAGGAGTCACATGCCAATTTAGAACGCGCAGATCCTGAGTTCGAAGCAACCCTCCTCTCACAATATGATTCGGTTGGAAATGATCTTAGGGCTCTTCTCCACGAATGGGAAGCTGGTAAAGCCGCATTGGCAAACCAACACGATCGCCTTAGTGCCGGGGATCGCTCGCGACCGCCAAGTACTTTCTTACCCATGTCCCCCACACCCAGTCTGGGAGGATCCACGGCAGTTGAGGGCAGCCCAACGGATGCACTGAAAGCCTTAACTGGCGAGGGCCGGCCGGATCTGACCCAGACCTATGATGACGAGGAAATTTTCGAAGCTGTTGTATTGCCGGCCTCGAGAAACAAAAGAATGTCTTTGTCAAGAGACGAGCGTCTTGCACGTGTACGAGAAGACCGTGCCAGACAGGCGATTGCCAGAGAAAAGGTAGATGCCAGTACTAACATGCTCAAGGAATTGGAAATGGTCATCAAGCAGCGACCAGGAAACAACTCTGCAAAACGAGTCACCAGCATCTAAGACATGCTTGGATCTCTGTCTCATGCTTGATGCATTCCACAGAACCTCTTTTTTTTTGTCCACGCCATCCGGCACAGATTTGACTTCGACCAGCGCTAGCAGCAGTGAAGTCACAAATTGATACCCACAACATGTACATATAGACGGGGCTCGGCGACAGCGGTGTTTATTCGAGGACTATTGCTTCTTGCTTCTTGCTTCTTTACTTATTACTCATTTCTTTTGTGTCATTATTATCTGTTTGACTGTCTTTAAGTGGTCTTGGATCGCGATCCTTTCGGCATTCATCTCCATTGAGTGTGGCGATTAACGTTAATTATTTGCTAATTTTTACATTACAGCTGGCTCTTTTACGAATGAATTATCCTTTCAATATCCTACCACTGGTAATTGTGATAAAAAACCCTAGATGTATATTAAGGAGGCCTTATTGCCTTAGCGCCTGAGGTATCAAACTTAACCCGAAACGGACATATCGCCAAACGCGACCGCGTCTTCCCCACCCCCGAACGCGATCCTTATATTAGACTGCTGCCTCTTTCATCTTTGTCCAAATACATACCCAGTTCATTATCCTCGTCTCCCCACTACCCTCTTCACTAAGAAGCCACACTCTTTCCTCTTCTATTTCCTTACGGCCCAGTTAAAAAAAGCCCCCACACAAAACGATCAAGAGTAAGTCGGCCAACCCTCAAATCGAAAAGATTGTTGTGTGCGAAGAACCGACCAACTAACCCACTCCCTAGTGTTGGAAGCACGATTGGAACAAGCAAGCCTTCTGAAGCGCGTATGTGATCTATACTACTCGACCAATTCAGCAATGAACAATTACTAACACTGTTGTGTATAGGTCGTCGACGCCATTAAGGATCTTGTCCAGGACTGCAACTTCGATTGCAATGACTCCGGAATCGCCCTCCAGGCCATGGACAACTCGCACGTTGCCCTAGTTTCCATGCTGCTCCGTGCCGAGGGTTTCTCTCCCTACCGCTGCGATCGTAACATCGCCCTCGGCATCAACTTGCTCTCCCTGACCAAGGTCCTCCGCGCCGCCCAGAATGAAGACATCCTGACCCTCAAGGCTGAGGACTCGCCCGATTCCGTCAACCTGATGTTCGAGAGTCCAGACACAGACCGACTGAGCGAGTATGACATCAAGCTCATGGATATTGACCAGGAGCATCTGGCCATCCCTGAGACTGAGTACTCCGCCAGCGTGGAGATGCCTTCTGCTGAGTTCCAGCGCATCTGCAGAGATCTCAACGCGCTGTCCGAGTCAGGTAAGTAAAACTTCCCCCGAGGCATACTCAAACCCGGTTTGCAGACACACAGATCCTCTCGTGCTAATTTCTTGCGTAGTCGTGATCGAAGCCAGCAAGGAGGGTGTCAAGTTCTCCTGCCAGGGTGATATCGGTAATGGATCCGTCACCATCCGCCAACACACCAACGTCGACAAGCCAGAGCAGAACGTCGTCATTAACCTCTCCGAACCCGTCGCCCTGACCTTCTCCCTCAAGTACCTCGTCAACTTCTGCAAGGCTTCCAACCTGTCTTCATCTGTCGTGCTGCACCTCTCTGATGAAGTGCCGCTGCTTGTGGAGTACGGTCTGGGAAGTGGCCACCTGCGATTCTACCTGGCTCCTAAGGTAAGTTCTTGATTGTTCCAAGGTCGACATCATGGAAACCGAGCTAATGTGGGGGTTCAACACAGATCGGTGACGAAGACTAAACGAAACATCCGGTGGTTCGAGGGGATATGGGCAATGTTAAAAATGAAGCTCGATGATAATGGAGAGAACTTGGAGGAAAATGTTCTTTCATACATCCCTGACAACAAGGGGTTTTACAAGATGTTCACGATAATTTACACATTCAGCGGTCGAGGTTTCGATCTCGCAAATTTTTCCAAACACGCATCTTTCACCTAGAATTTCAAAGATTTCCAACTTCGCTACAAGTACGGATTAAAAGATGATATCTTAGATATTTCACCAACCATTAGGCCAGCGGAAAGATGTATTTTATTGTGTCCATATTTCCGAAGAAAGCCCCGACAAACCCAAACCCAACGAGCCCGCAGGCAAAGGACCCTAAGGAACCTCGCAAGGATGGTCCACAACCCCACTAATCAGCAAGGTCGCCAAAAAAAAAGCTTCTCAGACACCCCCAACAAAAAAAAAAAAAAAGGAGGGGAAGCAAGAACTGACCTGAAAAAAAGAGTGAAGCGCCATCCCCACCAGAATGATCGGAATCGAATGATACCATCCGCCCCTCCGAAGAGAAGACAGAACAAGGTATGCTGCGTATTGCACTAAAGTGTCATCACACACAATCTCCGCACCGACTCTCCCAAGGGCTTAGGGGCAAGCCCCATCCGCCCGATGTTTCTGATGTCAAGTGCAAGTGTGGGTAAGAAGTGATCTAGGATCACACCAGGCCCTCACGGGCAGGACCGGCGCCGACGCGCGAAAACGAACGACGGCGCGGGTCGGGGTTTGAAGATTCCTCCGAATTTCTCATTTGCAAGGGGTCTCGCGGCTCTGGGCAGGACCCAGTGCTGCGAGGACGGGCTGTGAGGCTCGCCGTGTGTAGCAAAGAAACGCAGCATTGGTGGGGATGGCGCTTGAGGAAGGGAAATTTGGCATGGAGAACGGTTTGCGGGTTTTATATCGTTGTCACGTGGGATGAGTCATCTGTGCGCTTGTCCCGTTTGGGAAGGTATAGGGCATCCAGTGTTGTGAGTTGGGTTAGTTGCGCTACGAGGTTTGGATAGGGTGCTTCTTTTAACATCAAGTTGAATGCAATGATTCTAATTAGCTGATTCTCAGCAATTCGTGGCTAAGTCTAGAGTACACTCTCGGTTTAGGTCGAACGATCTGCTGCTTGTGCTAGATTTCCTCGAAAGCTCGAACGATATACGTCTTTCCTTGAACTTCTACTTTCTCCCCCGGTGTTCTCCAAGATCCCACCCCCTCTCCATCAAATCCGACCACCATCGAAGGCAAAGAGCCCGCAGCTTCGCCAACCAAATACTTCTCATTCCACCCGGATTCCCATTCTTCCCTTCTGGCACTAACATCAGCGCCAGACTTCTTCACAACCAGATCACCAGATGGAGTCTTCTGTCGCGAGTGAATCTGCGTCTGGCTTAGTGCCAAATACGTGCCCCAGATGCGACCGATAAAAGTCTTCCTAACAGTCACCTCTCCTTCTCCACTGCCGAGATCTCCATCATCCGACTCTAGCACCCACGAAATACCTTTATTAGGTCCTTCTGGGCCCTCTCTGAACGGCAACTCCCGCCATACCTCCTCATATTCCTTGTCGGGTGCGCCAGGAAGATCATGACGAGGCATAGACCCGACCTCGAGATCATCACCGTTCGGCAAGGGGAAAAAGCTCCCACAATCAGCAATTTCAAACGCATTGTGAGAGTCAAGCTCATGGGAGAAGGTCACCCGCACTATTGAGTTGGTTAAAAAGTAGTTCCTATTCGTTTCGCTGAATGCAATGGCATCCTTTGGATAAGGGACTTACACGGCTCCTGACCCTCCACGATCCTCTGCCCAGCAATTGCCCAGTCTATTTTGCCTGTTGCCGTTTCGATCCGCAGATCAACGTACCAATCCTTCACGGACATCACAATTGTATCGGTTGTTTCCTCGGCCGGTGTTGTGAGCCATCGGAACGAGATTCGTTTGGAGAAGCGACAGGTGGATTGGTTAGGTTTGTTGACCATATTGTTGGCTTTCGCTGGATGTTGGATTGTTATGGTAGGAATTGCCTGTTTCTGTGGCTATATTAGATGGTAGGCGGGAGCTCTGCTAAACGAGATGTCTAGATAGGTAAAGAGCCAGATTGGGAAGGTTGAAGAGAATGCCCAGCCATTTGGTTATCTTCCCCTCACACCCCGCATTCCCTTCCAGGGACATTCTCCTCACGGACATTGCCGTTTATTATGATCGGTTATCAAATTAGAAGATTGGGAAAATGATATCAAAATTGTCACATTAAATTCTGGGTCCATAGCAATCTTTCAATACACAAAAACTAGGTCTCATATCACTCTATAGCTGTAAAGACCAGCTTGCAGCTCTGCCCCTTGGGCCTCGAAGAGATGATCTGATCATCCAGCTTCATAGAAGCAGCCATATCCGAGGCCACCGTCGTCCGATAACGAGAATACACTTCCCGAAGCAGTGTCTTCATCTCAACAAGCGCAAGACTAACCAGTATCAGCAATCAGCACCAGTCAACCAGGGCACAAGGAAGACAACTCACTTTTTCCCCGTACACCCTCTCCCACCTGTAGCAAACGAAAAGAATAGCCTATTCCTCTCAGCAGCCCCCTCTTCAACAAGCCACCGATCAGGATTGAAACGATCAGGCTCAGGGAAGACACTCTCATTCGTCCGATGCACCGAATAAGGCTGACAACTAACGATAGTATGCTCTGGAACGAAGAACCCGTCGATCTCCCTTCCACCAGCAGGCACATAGCGAGGCAGTGACATCGGAATAGGCGGCGCACACCGCAGCGCCTCTTTAATGACAGCATCGAGATACACATAGCTATCCAAGGGTGCATTGACAGGCGCAGCGGTAAGCTCCTTGTAAAGGTTGTGTTGGAAATAGAGATTGTGAGGTTGCGAGAGCTCCCACATTAAGAAACATAGGCCATCCCCCGTTGTGTCGATGCCGGCTGCCATGTGGTCTTTGCATTCTGCGGCAGCTTGCATTAGTTCCAGGTTAGATTCTTTGCGCTTGAGTTTTTCCATTAAGGAGTAGTCGTCGAGCTCGATTTGGGCGGCCATGTCTATGACATATTGATTTGCTTTTGGGGCGCTGCGGGCATGGAGGAACTTTGGGAAATAGGGTGCTAATAAAGGGAGATAGTACTCCAGGAGGTTTTCTGTTTACCATTTTAGTATTTATCACCAGGACATGGAAATCGGGCAGTGCATACTTTGCAGACTCTGATGATAGGTCAGTTCGTGCATGATTTCGAAGTCTTCGGCTACGTTGAGAGATCTCAGGCCGCCGGGGCTGAACATGAAATGCGTAACGCAGTCCAGGGCATAGCAGTGAAGCAAAGACTGGAAGGATTAGCATTTCTCATGTTGGATGCTTTAATATATTGACAACTCACGTAAACATCCACACTCTTTTGGCCACCCTCGACACACTTAGATACAAACGTCATGGCCCGTTCGTGGATAAGAGCCATGGGTTTTTCTTTCATGATATTGGTCATGGCGTATCTGTCGGCAAAGATGCGTTTTCTTTTGCTGTGCTGGTGTATATTAGCACTCGAATGTTTTATTTCTATTAGAAATATGTACCTCGTCCTTCAATAAAGTAGAAAACATTGTCCTAAGTCTTTGTATTAGTGGCTGCCAGCTATTTCTCCGGTGCAAAGGCTTACTTGATCTTGAACTGCCTGAAAAGATCATAGTACTCGGTCTTGTCATACCCACTTCCCCCGAAGCATAGATCTCTTTAATCGCATCCAGGCTGGTAAACGATAGTTCATTGGGACTCAGCCGGACGACAGGACCATAGATCTTGTGCAAGCGGTGAATTGACTCTCGTCGATTGGCAGTGAACTCCTGATACTTAAGCCACAAACTTGTAAAACGAGTATACCACGGACCCGGAATCGTAGACAGGGGCGAGAAGAATCCGCGTATGACTATATACCCACAAAGGATGATAGCCCCGGCCCACAGAGACAGCATGTTGTCGTATCAGAGAGCTCCTGGGTGATGAAAAGTTTCTCTTGAAGAAGGCCGAATGTGCAATCCTACGCTTATTTATACCATAGATCTGATTGAAGCATCGATAATTCCCATTAGATAATAGACATAACTTTGGAGATTTGATAGTCTTTGCTTCAACAGTTAGGATTTGCCGATATCATCGTTATCGGAGTGCGGGGAAATGCGAACAGGCTTGGGTTTGGGTTGCGATAAGATTTCAGACTTTAAACCAAAAAGGGAAATCTGAGGAGATGGTAGGATTTTAAAAAAAAGAAAGATTATTCCTAATGAATGCCACTTGCTATATTGTAGCTAAACAGCCTTGTCCCGATCTTGAGTGGGATTCATCTCTAGAACGTATGGCAGGGGGAGATAAACTGTTTATACGGCAGACGGGGAAAGATGAATGCAAGAAATTATGCCGTAGCCGATCACTTTAGACATTGGATATCTCTAACTGCATTCAAAGATTCACTGGACAGCCCATATGTCACCAAGCAACCTCTCAAACACAAGTTCATGGCGCAGCCGAAGCCAAGATCAAATTCACAAAACAGTTTGAATCAATTTCATGCTGATGGTTGAAAGCTACGTAAACAATGATATTAGTTATGGAGTAGTAATCAATCAACGGTGCATTAAGTTACAATAATAGCCTAGTGATGGGGGTAAGGGTGAACTATGACATCACATGGATTCCCTTTACTTGAATACCATAAATAGAACTAGACTTGTGCCAGTACCTCGTTCACTATCAACAACAAGACGTTCTTTGGGCTTTTGGGCAAGACAGGGGTTTTCGCGCTGTCCTTGGGCTACAGCGACCGTTGACCTTTCTACCCCGTAAGGGATATTGGTTACATTATGCTTGGGTGTGTAAGCTACAACATAGTCGTGAGCTGGATCTTCTATAGTGGAGAGCTTCCTAAATTTGATGTCGCGGTATTGAGAGAGCTAGTATCGATTTTATCATTCATTACAAACGGGCTGCAGTCCTAAAAAGACACCACCAGGTTAACGAGTTGGATATGCTCGATCATGAGCATATAATCTTTGAAATATGAGACCTCAAAAGTAAAAGGTCAAGACCTGCATTCAATTTCATTGTTGGGCTTGTCTTTGCCGAGATACCCTGCTCCGGCGGCCTTTCCGTTGATCGGATCCGACGCTAGATGACCGATCCAATGTCTCACTTCTAAGGGCTCTTAGTGGGCTGAATGGGTTTTTTCTAGATGTTGCCGATACTCCACCAGGTTAGAAACACGTCCATGGATTTTGTCAGGCAATTCTGGAGATGTATTGGAGAAGACTATGGTTATCGGGGTGGGTTCGCATAAATGCTTCGATTGGGTTGGTGATGTGTTGGCGTTGATCAACACATGGTTTATGTATCGTACTCTACACAAATTCCTTGGTCTGAATCTGGGTATTTCGAACAATGATGGAACCTTTAGCCGGCTGTACCTAATCGGAAGAAAGTGGACCTTCTCGACGTAAGGTATCATTCGCACATCATGGCCGATCCCGGTGCATAGTGCTTTAGAGATCCTGCGAAAGCACCTAGGTTCCGAAGTTCTAGGCCGCGGAGAGTGAAAGTGAGGAGCAAAATAGAGCCATGGAAATGAAAGTACCTAAAGATCAAACAGGGATGATGTAATTATATTTCAGTACCGAGGTACAGCTGTAAACACGCACCTGCATGAACCAAGGATGACTTGGTCAGGGGCCATGGTTCGGACAATCTTTAAACTGCCTCAGCCACTTTTGTATCAGCCACATTAGTGAGGTCGCATTCCAGCTCCCATATGTTATTACAACATACAGCATGCTTCACAGCCTTACCTCCACATTACTTTCTGCGGATAGGACTCATTGTGGCTTAGACTAACTAATTGACAGGCCGGTGTCACAGGTTAAATTGGCCTGAGATCAGGGTCTTACCCGTGGACTCCAGCCCTGGGCTACTAACACGATTAAGTAAGCCAAATAGAACACCTGCCTAGTTAGTGGGCCCGGCGGGCATCCGCCCGGGCGTCGTCGATAGCCTAAGGCGTTGAAACAGTCGAATAAAGGATTCTCTCTTTACCAATTAGACGACCCAACTAGAAGAGTACAATATATGTAAGACACACAAAAGCAAAAGAAGAAAAAAAAAAACAAAAGAGAATCCTACAAAGTACGGAGTCAAATAAAAAAAGTCTGGACTCGACTAAGTTTGGTACCTGTCGCATGTCGATGGGGCTACTCCACTGCCGATTCAGGAGAAAAAAGGCGTTGGAATGCAGAAATAGTGTGGTGGCTTCGTCCGGGTTGGAGAACAGCTTTTCAGGGACTCTACGGTGCATCTAGAATGTTTGTAGTAAGCAGAGTCCCAACTTGTGGTTATTCCGTACATAGTGTACACTCCGTAGGAGCCTACTGCGTATGTGTGACCCGCCCCATGGTATGTGGACAACTTTGGTTGAACCCCAGATGTGCCCCTACTTTCTCTCCCGTCTCGAATCCGGCCTTTTTTCCTTCTTCACCTTTTCTTTTTTGTCACTCTTTCCATATTTCCTCCCTTTTTATTTCAAGGGTTGAATTAGCTGTACGGTCGCTGCCACAACGAATTCCCTCGATTCCCCGCCTCACAATTCGGAACTCTGCGGGATAAAAAAAAAACACAAACTACAACATACGGAATAATACCTAGAAAAATCACCGTCTATCTTTAATTCGACTCAACTGGTTTGAGCTGTCTGCCTGACAGTCGGATGCCCCTGTCGAGGCTTTCCTGCGTCTAATCACACGTCTCCTGACGAATCCTGGCTTGGGCCAACCAAATTGCCAAGCCACAGAAGCACACGAGCCTCCGTTGTGTTTTAATTTGCCCTTTCCCCCCGTGTCGGGCCTATTTCCCACCGGTCTTATAAAGCGAACGCCACCGTCAGGTGGTTACACCGTCGCCGTGTCTTTCACTAACCATCCCGCCGACCTGAGCTCCACGACGGAGCCTCTCGGCAAGATTCCTTCACACGGGTCGCGCGCCTCTCTCTTGGGGGGTCTTTTGATCCTGCCTTTCGACGAGGTCAGGGAGGGTTCCGCGCACGAGAGGGATACTCTAACGTCACTCCTGTGACCCATAGCCCCAGGATGTATCTCCCAAATACATATTGGACATGGTCCTTTGCGATCGTCACATTCGTCCAAACAATCGTGACACTCAGCCTTGAAAGGTATGAAACTCCACCGAAGCGAACATGGGAAATCAACATTAACGTCGCCTTTCTTTCTAGTTACATCTTCGCGAATTTTCAAATGCAAGAACTCCCAAACAACAGCCCCGCCTCGAAAACCATCCCTACTTTCCTCGCCCTCTATGGCTTCGGTTTCCTCTACGAACTTGTGCTGGTATACGATGCTCTGCGCATGAAGAATACAATTCAGGTCATCGGACTGTGTATCTGCAATGTTGGTCTCCTGATTTACGGCGCTGTTCAAGTGAAGCAAATTCGAGAGGCCGTCTCCACCTTGGCCTTGATGAATATGATCAGTCCGGTTGTCTGGGCCCAGTCGGAGCCGTTCCTGATCATCATTCCGTGCATCGTGGCATTAGGGACATTATTGATTACTTTCGTCGCTTATAAGCTGTACGACGAGTTTGCATGGACAATCTACAAGCATATTAGTGCTGATCTGCAAATGAAGCGTCGCTATCTCACCTACCAGGTTTGTGTTCCATTCGACTTCCCCATCAGTAACACAGCTAACCGGTCACTAATCAGATCTATATCGCTCTCTTGAAATTCGATTTCTTCTTCTTCCTGGGCTTTACTGTCCAGTTCCTCGTCTTGGTCTCCTCGACTAGCATGGACGTTGAATTTGCGCTTACGGTGGCTGCCATCCCCGTGACCATTATCATTCTGGTCTGTGGCGCCTGGTTTGTGCGACGAGAAACCATGACTGGCATGATCATCATCATTGTAAGTCGAATACCAGCAACGTTGATTCACCTTCTAACAGTCTTATCCAGCTCCTCTTATTCGCCGCGATGGGATATTTCTGCTTCAAGCTATTCCGAATGTACTCCCCGCAGACTTACTTCAAATACCTGCCCGCTCGACCATCGATGACCTTCTTCGCCGTCATCACCTTATTTTTGATTGTGATCACTATCGTCAACGCCTGCATGTGCGTCCACAACTTCAACCGCGGTTTGAAGCCCCACATCAACAAGAAGAAGAACAAGGAAGCAGAAAAGACAACCGAGCTCTCTTCGAATCTTACCCAAATACCGTCACGGATGATGATCGACTGATCACCCGGTTCGCAAAAGGGTGCTCTATAAGTAATTTTCTGGGGCGTTGAATTTTGGAGCGTCCTGTCTTTTTTAATCTGCGAACTTCGTGTCCGTGTGGACACCTTGAATTTAGCCTGATCTCTTTGTGCATTTTTCTTTCTTTTTTCTGGGCTTTCGGCTCAGCATGATACCTCATTTCCGTCGAATCTGCTCTGTCCACCATCTCCCATTCTTCCTGACTCTGAGCTGTCAAAAATTTCCTGTCATTCTACTTTCCTTGGTTCCCTTTACATGTTCATATCCATACCCCATACCCCATACCCCTGCACGAGTGCACCGACGGCGTTATCTGAATGATTTGATTCCCGGAGGTGTCCTCCATGTCTTACGACAGCCATCGATGCTTTTTCCGATGAATGTGAATTAGTCTTTCTCATTAGTTCAGTGGACTTAAAGCACGTGAATGGTATTTTTAGTAGCTATATCGATAGAATTGAACTTTATACCTCCGTGTCATACATACTTTGTACATAACATAGACTGAGGCCAGTTATTCACTCGTTAAAGAAGGTGCTAGTTACCCCGTACATATTGTAGCAATATGCGCCGGGTTATTCTGATTGGTGGATATTTCTGTACTGTAAATACTGGTAATTATCACCTAATTCGCTTCCAACTGCCGGGGTTGACATGTCAAATACCGTATTACCCCAAAAACCGCGATCGTGGCCTCAACTCCGCAAACCTCCTTTCAGACCATCTCAGGCTCCTCCTTCCCTTTCTTCTTGAACTGCATTTCCATCTCTCTTTTAATCCCTTTTTCTTTTCCTTTACACTCTTCTACACGCAATTAATCACAATGGTAAGTTCATCTCCCCGGACCCGAACCCCATCAACCACCCATCCGACGATCAAGCCAGCTTGCCCCATCCACCGCCAACCCATTGCAAGCCCTCTTGCGAATTCCTCAATCCCACAATTAACATAATGCACCACTAGGCCTCCCCCCGCCCAGCGTCTCCCCTCACCTCAGGCGCCGAGTCCGGCCCTGACTCAAAGTCAGGTGCCGCCGCAGCCACTGGCAACTCCGTCGGCCGTCCTTCTTCTCCCTCTACTCCCGGCGGTCCTCGTGCTGCCATGCGCCGCCGTGCCACCGCCGACCACAAGGAGACCCTGCGCAATGCCCGTCCCAGCTCCACCCGCTCTGCTGGCGCCGGTGGCTCGTCCGGCACCATGCTCAAGCTGTACACCGACGAGAGCCCCGGTCTGCGCGTTGACCCCGTTGTTGTCCTGGTTCTGAGTCTAGGATTCATTTTCTCGGTTGTTGGTCTGCACGGTAAGGAATCACCACTGATGATAAGAATGTTAATGTTTGGGGTTATTGTTTGATTGGCTGCTAATTGCTTTCTTCTCTCTAGTCATCGCCAAGATCACCCGCAAGTTCTCCGCTTAAGCACTTGATCAGCCTCAATTGCGCAGTTGATATCCCGTTGGATTTTCGCGCACGGTCTATCTATCTATCTCGGGCGTTGACTGCGCGCTCCCCGACCTCGAATCCTCCTCATCTTACCGCCTCATTTCCCGACTCCTATACCCCGTGACCCTTGGGCCATTTCTCGTTGTGGCGCTGGAATCAAATCAACCCTTCCGAAACAACTGGCGTGATTCCGTTTTGTTTTCATTTTGATGTGTATGTGGTGTTTTCATTTGCGTTGCAAAAGAGAGTTACTCAACGACCTATCTGCTGTATAGGTCATTCTAGATAGGACCAGCCTGTTCATGTCTCCGTCTTGACTTTCTATTTACGGCCATTGGCTCGGTTCCTAGCGATATCAAGCGCTGGAATATGCCGTGGCTGTGCCAGTTTGGACCGAAGCATGGTAGTATTTGTTCTATCCGGACGCTTGTCTGTACAATATAAAGACTTGATTGAATCTGTTCCTAGGATTAGACCTGATTTTCTAGTGACATAACATGCATATATGCTACCGACTCTTGCTTCATGTCATTCCGGTGTCACGAAAATTGCAGAACCCGCAAACCCGTCATTTTGGAACTCGTCTGGAGCTTCTAGTTGTTTTCTGTAGACCCAAATGCCTTCGTTTCATACCAAGGGATCTCAAGAAGCTTCTCTCGACCGAGCAATTGCTTCATGCTATTGACTGTGTAGTCGATAATGCACTTGACAATTCGTTCATCCTGATAGCGACGCCGACAAACACTTTGTGATGTTTAGCATAACGTGCGTATGACTTGGAATTGGAGGTATCACACGCACCGGACATCGCACAGTATAGAACTATACAGAGACATCACCATGAGGGATTTCAAACACCTCCCAGGATCAGGCCAACATGCCCTATAAACCTATTGGTAATCATGCATAATCCTAGGAGAGCTGCTCTATAGAATGAAGAAAGGCAGTGGCCTTAGGGGACATGGTGAAACCATCAGCAGCTTACTGCACCAGAGGCAACTCCTCGCCACAATTCGATTCGTTTTCAGTGGAGCTACATCGAAGTTGGTCTCTAAACGCTGGGATTGACCCGTTCCATCTCAGGTTTTACATCTGCTTAACTTGATGACCGTGAAAGGGTAGCGACATGAATCTAAGGACAAAAGTTATGGATATATATAGCTGAGGGGAGGTAAGGACGAACTTTTATTCTGGGGAATATTAGTTAGGGTTTTATAGAAATGACTAACAAAGGAATGCGAACGGACCTCAGGTGTAGGAGACCAGACAATCATGGAGCCTATAATCTATGGATTCCAATAACCTGGACTGCAGTCATTGTATAACCCTCTCCATCGCCTTTCTATCACCATACCCCCTCCCCTTCAATATGGCGTCCATCCATCTAGGATATAACAGCGGGTTGTAGTTGGACTATAGCTCTCGGGAAAAAAGGCCAAGAGGAATCTCAAAATCCATAGTGTCTGCAAGAATAGGAGCTCTAGGCCATACCACAACCACTCAAACCCAGGGCCATGCTTTCCCAGACCATTTAGATTTGTTTAAGAGTTGATAACAACCTTATCTCCTAGGGGTCAATGCATATCAGGTGGGGTACCTTGGGGTCTCGAATTAAGCTACGATTGAATATGGTCACCTTGTACTCTTTTTCGCTGGTCAAAGATTAGATATAGGTTGTATTATAGAGCAGATATGTATATATCCTCCTCTTACACCAATGATTTCATCGAATACAAATTGTATTCCTGATGGCACTATAGTTATATACTTTGTAACAGGCCCTGAAGCTCGTGAAACAGAAAAAAGATATGTATATCTATCTTCAAATTTGAAGATTCAACGATTAGATAAAACAAGCATTTAACAGGTCTTTGACTTGGTGGCACAATCTAGGCAGGACTTGAGGATAAGCAGTCTATAGTTACCCCCGAAGTCGGGAGTATGATATACTATGATGAATATGATAACGGACTTAATTCACGCTTCAAGAAAAGTTTGATTGAGAGCAACTAATCGAGGCAATATAATGTTGACAGAATTTAAAGTGAACGTGGGGGAGATAGTGGATCATATACGGAGTAATAAAGTAATAAGAATGAGTAACCTTGGAAACTTTCACTGCCAAGCATCTTTTTGGAGCCCCGGGATACCCCGATATTCCCTAAACATCTGCGATCCGTTAACATCGGCAGTTGGCACTGGTAAATGTCAAACGTCGAACAGCGCGAGTTTGCCGTAAATCCTTATCTTACATGTTCTCTAGCCAATCACAGCCACCCAACCATATGTACCTTAGACGGTAACTGATAACAGCCAGCGCCAACCAATGACCGACAACACGTATACCCTGGTCAAAACCTTCATGCTTCACATCAGAGTGACTCTTTGAAATCCCCGCGTAAGTGCTCCATTGTGATGTTGATCCCCTAACTCTAGTGGCGTACCTTAGACGGTCCATATCCCTGCTATGCGCGCCATGGTATTACGAGAGCATGTTGTCCTTATCTGGCAATCAGAATCGAGCATCCCTATCTAAGCTCAGGGTCAGGGATCGTCATGCTATACTCCCGTACCCCAGTGCGAATTCGGAGCTGGGGGTCCATACCATGCTTCTGATGCTATGTGCCCGGACCTATATGAGGTTGCTATCCTCCCGGTCTAGGAAGCTTGATATCCCATCTGCCAAGTCAGTGTTGAAAAGTTATACAAGGCGTACTTTCCATATAAACTGGAGCATTAGTCGCTGATTCCCAATTTGAGGCACCTTGCCATCTTTCATATTTCCTCTGTTGTCATAACCCCTCTTGATATTCACGTCTACGACATGTCGTCCGACGGGGTTATTTTCACAGCGCCTTTGTCTCAGAGCTTTGGATATGGAATCATCTTAGGCCTAGGCTTTGCCTTTGCCCTACTGATGATCTTCATTACTTGGGCATTGAAACGGTGCGTCTCTATGCCTTAATCGATATCATCCACATAAGCTGACAAAATGCATCTATACAGCTATCAGAATGAAGTCCAAACATCCGAGATGTTCTCAACTGCAGGCCGGTCCGTCAAATCAGGACTGGTTGCAGCCGCCGTTGTTAGTAGTTGGACATGGGCTGCAACTCTTCTTCAGTCATCTGCAGTCGCATACAAATACGGTGTCTCTGGTCCATTTTTCTACGCATCAGGTTAGTTCCAGCTGTATGCGAATGATCTGAAAAGCTCTATATCTAACATCATGTGTATCAATAGGCGCCACTGTCCAGATTCTCCTATTCGCAACACTAGCTATCGAGCTGAAACGCCGTGCGCCGAACGCGCACACTTTCCTGGAAGTCATCCACGCTCGCTATGGAACCGTCGTGCACGTGGTTTTCATAGTTTTCTGCTTGATGACCAACATTCTGGTTACTGCGATGCTGCTCACCGGTGGCTCGGCCGTGATGACATCCTTGACTGGAGTGCCCACTGCGGCAGCCTGCTTCCTGCTCCCAATTGGCGTGGTACTATACACCCTCTTCGGTGGTATCAAGGCTACTTTTATCACAGATTACTTACACACCGTGGTAATCCTAGTCGTCATCTTCCTCTTCGCCTTCTCCGCTTATGCCACAAATGCCGAGCTAGGATCTCCATCAAAGGTGTATGACGCGCTAGTTGCAGCCTCCCAGCGTCACCCTGTTGAGGGTAATGCGGAAGGCAGCTATCTGACTATGCGCTCTAAGGAGGGTGGTGTCTTCTGGGTCATCAACATCGTTGGAAACTTTGGCACGGTCTTCTTAGACAACGGCTACTATAATAAGGCTATCGCTGCCAGTCCCGTCCATGCATTCCCAGGATACGTCATTGGCGGCATCTGCTGGTTCGCAATTCCCTGGCTATGCGCAAGCACGATGGGCCTCTCCGCACTGGCACTAGAGGGCACGCAGCGCATGAGCTCTGGCGACGTGAGTGCCGGGCTAGTGCTCCCCTTTGCAGCAGTCAAGCTGCTCGGCTATAGCGGTGCCGTCGCCACAACACTGATGATTTTCATGGCTGTGACATCTGCGTTCTCAGCGCAGCTGATTGCCGTCTCTTCGATCTTCACCTACGATATCTACGCGGCCTACATCAACCCAAGCGCCAAGGGCAAGAGACTTGTCTGGATCTCGCACATGTCCTGCATCGTGTACTCAATCATCATGGCGGGCTTTGCGACGGGTCTCTACTACGCCGGCATCGGCATGGGATATCTCTACCTGCTGATGGGCGTGATCATCTCCTCCGCTGTCTTCCCAGGAGCCATGACCCTTCTTTGGAAGGGCCAGAACCGAATCGCAGCAGCCCTATCACCGCCCCTCGGTCTGGCAGTCTCTCTCATTGCCTGGCTAGTGACCGCAAAGAAGCAATTCGGAACCCTAACCGTCGATAGCACTGGCTCCAAGTAAGCATTCCTTTCTCAACATCCATACCGCAAACCCAAACCTAACAAACCGCTCCAGTTACCCCATGCTAGCCGGCAACGTCGCCGCCCTTCTCAGCCCACTAGTCTTCGTCCCAGTCTTCACCTACATCTTCGGCCCACAAAACTATGACTACGAATCCATGCGCGCCATCCGCAAAGTCGACGACACAGAAGTCGCCGCCGCCGCCCATGTCGACCTTGAACTAGTTCCCGGCGAGATGGGCCCCACGCAAGATGAGAGCGAAGAAGAAACACGCCTGCTCAACCGCTCGGCATTCTACGCGCGCACGCTGACAGTCTTTATGGCACTTGCATTCCTGATCCTCTGGCCGATCCCGATGTACGGGTCTTCGTATGTGTTCAGCAAGAAGTTCTTTACGGGATGGGTGGTTGTTGGAATTATTTGGTTGTTCTGTACCCTGTTTGGTGTTGTGGTGTTCCCGTTGTACGAGGGTCGCGCGAGTATTGTACGTGTAGTGCGGATGATGTCGCTTGATCTGGTGGGGAAGAAGCCCAAGGTTTATCGGGGGACGAAGGATGGGGCCGATAATGTTGCTACGCCTTCTGGGCTGGCGACGCCGACGGATACGCTTGGAGAAAAGGATAAGCAGACCTTTGAGAAGGAGGTTTGAGGCTTTTTCTGGTGCTATCTTTACTGATTCTTTTCTTTGTGCCTTGATCTTGGCTTAATATCTTGTTTACGGCTATTTATACCCTCCTACTACTGAATCTCAATTTGAACTTCATGTGCTTTATTATTATGTGTTCCAATCAGCAAGTCAGCATTTTATAACAACCTTCTATATTCTTATGAGGAATAGAACATGTTAGGCCGATCGAATGGGTAGTCCAAAATTCGATAGCAAAGAAAACAAAATACGAAGTTACCCAACGCCAAGGGTGAACCCACGATATTAAGCCGTAATACGTGTCTCTTGATAAGCCCTTCTTCTGCCTCACAATCCCGCAATAATTGCTGCATCCTTATGCTAGTAGAATCTGAACATTGGAAACTCATTTGTATCCAAGTCCACCCTGTGCTTGAGGCGGAGGCTGCAGAGGGGGCTGTTGCTGCCAGCCTCCCTGGACCTGGGGAGGCGGCTGAATGCCGTATTGCATGCCTGGCGGAGGTCGCGTGTCAGGCGTGATATCGGGCCGGTCACTGATGCAATCGCTATTAGTATATCATTTGAATGTTTTTGGGCAGTGCTTACCGTAGGTCTTGGGTGTAACGGCATGTGTGGCATTGGACCTCCTATATAGTACGTTAACGATAGAGTCAAAAGGTGATTGATAGAGGCATATTTACCTTGTACTTGTGCGTAGCAAGGGGAATCACTGGCTGTAGCGAGGTAAAGGTTAGATATCTTGAGCTGTTTGTCACGACAATATTCTGGCGATTCATAACTTACAATGAAGCAGACGGTGAAAAACGGCCTTGAAGAATTATTAGTCAAGTTCAAATTATTCTGGTCAGGTCCTATGGGCCAGAAACATACCATCGGGTGATGCAGTAACCATTCCAATGTTGGCCTAAAAGCGGAGAATCAATAACAGGGTCAATAGACCACTGACGTCAGAACTTACAGTTGTAGCAGTATGCACGAACATTCTCATAGCCCTCGAGCTGAGACGAGAACTCTGTATTCGTGGTCAGTATCTTTATTCAATTCGACTGAGCAACGTCGACAGCACGGATACCCGTCAGGGACAGGGTCCACTCTGGTTTCTGGATCGTGGGGTAGGAAGACTTACCATGTGTTCCAAACGTGATACAGAAAGCCATGGTAATTGTGAGATGTGGAAAAGTTGGCACACAACTACCGAAGAGAATCAACAGAGAGTTGAGAGGCTACTTACGATTGAAAGTCGATCAAAGACGAAGGCAGCGGCATTGGGGGTGTGGCGCTGTGGCTTGGCGGGCTTGGCAGGTAACACGTGATGTCAGATGTAGTGGTGCATGATTGGCCAAGTGCCCCTGTATAAAAGGCACATGTGATTATTGATTCCAGCAGGGACCCGTTGACTATCAGTGATTATACATGTACATATGTACATTTTAGTAGATTGTCTGAAGAGTCTGCAGTTTTTACCGAGGGCCTAACCTCGAGCAATACTTTCTTTTGGTTGTTTTACGTGTTTTGGGCAGATGCGCTTAATTCACTAATGGCTGTTCACCATAGGATAACAGCCCCATAAACCAAATATTAGACAAAAGAGTCGCTTGAAAACACATTTCTCCGGATATCACCTCCCCATCAGTGTAGGATGCCGAGCCTAGACACATCAATCACATTTATTGGGTCTTGAAGAGCAGAATTGCGCAGTGTCCGAGGTAGAAGTAGATGAAGTGCTTAGTCTCTGTTGAACAAATGATTAGTATCTGATTATCAGCATAATGGTTCTAGTATCCACAAACCATGGGTGACGAAGCTTCCAAAGTTACGACCAACCACGCAGTGCCAGGTGGCGCCCTTGCGGGAGTCGAACTAATGTATGGGGTTAGAGATGTTATCAGGCGGGGTAGAATCGGCGTACCTCTTTCTTGATATACTGGGCAATATCCTGTAAATGGTTATTATCTGATTCATATTGGGAATGGGATTTGAGGAGTGCGCGTACTTTTTCAACTCTGAACTTCTCCATGGCCTCAATGGCTGGGGGGTAGGTTAGCTTTGTTTATCTGGGGCGCTCTCGATGTTTCATACCGAGGGCAATAGCCTCCTGCTGCATATCCTCGGTCTAAAAATTGTGTCAGAATCAATTGGCTATCGTAGTTTCGCATGAGTGTCCTTACCATGTCCACAGACTTAATCTGCGCTGCACGGAGCGTTTAGCACTTGTCACTGGACTCACAAAGGAGAAACTTACCCTCCATAGGCTCCTTCTTTTCAGCCGGGGGAAGTGCCATTGTGAGTGATTCCTGTATCAAAAAAACTTCGAAGGGGGGTTTAGGTGGTGCGCCAAAAAAAGAGACTTGGTAGCGTAATCTCGCGATAACGTACGTTATTGCCGGTGGACAAGCCACACCGCCTGCCCGCCAGACCGCCCGCGGCACTATGAAAGAAGAAAAAAAAGTTTTTCTCGTAGAAACTTCGAGTCTTCACACTACTCACCACAAAAACCCAAAATGGAGAGCACTAGAGTGTTCGTGGGTGGTCTCCCACCAACATGCTCTAATGATCAGCTAAAGAAACATTTTGCAACTCGCTTTCAAGTCACCGATGCTCATGTCCTACCTAAACGTAGGATGGGGTTCGTCGGCTTCAAAAGCCATGAAGCAGCCCAGCAAGCCGTGAAGCACTTCAACAAGACATACATGAAGATGTCGAAGATCGCTGTAGACATCGCTCGTCCGGTATGTCGATTCTCAGCTCTTTTGCTTCAGCCACTCTCCTTTCGCCTGTGCACGCTGACCAATTAAGGTGGTCTTGAGACTGACCCGTATTATTGCAGATTGACTCGAATGACGCCGAGGATGCCCACCCCACACGACGACGTGATGCCACGAATGATAATGATGCATCGTTGGATAACAACCTCAAGCGCAAGAGGGACGGCGAGAACAAATCACAGGACCCTAAACTACAAGAGTACCTCTCTCTGATGGGATCATCATCAAAGACTCGGACATGGGCCAACGATGATGATATGATCAAGCCGTCAGTGGACACGGTTCCCGTTATTAACCAACCCGCGCAGGAAGAAGAGCAGATTCAGGACCTGCCTTCACACCCAAAAAAGGCAAAGACAGAAAAACCTTCCACGGTAGCAACGCCTGAGCAGCCTGAGCCCATGGTAATTGACAAGAGTGAAGAACAGGAGGCTCAAGAAACACCAGAACAGGACAACTCTGCGGAGCCTGAAGAGGAGACTAGACCTGTATCTGATGCAGATTGGCTACGGTCAAAGACGAGTCGTTTGTTGGGCCTTCTCGATGAGGAAGAACAAGATGAGTTTGATCAACACAAGGCCGCCGCACCGACTACTGCGCCGATCAAAGCTCATTCACCACCTTCCTCGGCTGGCGATGAGTCGCCTCAGCGTGACAAAGAATCGCGCACTGCGGCCATTGAGAAAATTGCGCCCAACACGACTGACGTTGACAGCATCACCGAGGCAACGCCGGAAGATCCGAATATCGATCTTATTCGAAAATCGGCCCGTTTATTCCTCAGGAATCTTGCCTACGACACAACGGAATCTGATCTACAACCGATTTTTGAACGCTTTGGAAAGATTGAGGAGGTTAGTACTTGCCCTTTTTTTGCTTTCTCAACCCTGCCCCGCCTTTCCCCCAGTACCGGCAGACTGGCTCACAGCCTGTTTGTCACGAGTGCTCGTATGATGATTTTCCCGATAGGGACATCCGATGCAAATTGCAAATGATGTTACCAGGACAAGATATTTTAGTAGATGCTTCTTGACTATCTGAAAGAGCCAACTCAACCCACTTTTCCACATTTACACATTATATTCAATGACCTTGAGTACTAATTGAATATAGATTCATGTTGCTTTTGACACACGCTCCACAACTAGCAAAGGCTTTGCTTATGTGCAATACTCGCATGCTGATGCGGCCATTGAGGCCTACCAGACCCTTGATGGCAAGCATTTCCAGGGTCGTCTGCTCCACATCTTGCCTGCTTCTGCGAAGAAGACCTACAAGATTGACGAATACGAATTGTCAAAGCTTCCTCTGAAAAAGCAGAGGGAGATCAAGCGAAAACAAAACGCCTCTGGATCGTCATTTAGTTGGAACTCCCTATACATGAATGTGAGTTTACCTCTTACCACCACCAATCAAAAGGTTGAGACTAATTTCGCTACAGGCCGATGCTGTGATGTCATCAGTGGCCTCAAGGCTCGGAGTCTCCAAATCTGAACTGCTTGATCCCACTTCTTCAGAAGCCGCCGTCAAGCAAGCACATGCTGAAACGCATGTGATTCAAGAAACTAAAGCCTACTTTGCTTCGAATGGAGTAAATATTGATGCTTTCAAGCAGCGCGAACGTGGGAATACGGCTATTTTGGTCAAGAACTTCTCATATGGTGTCACGTCGGCAGAGCTCAGGAGTCTGTTCGATCCATATGGCAAGATTATCCGACTCTTGATGCCGCCGAGTGGCACTATTGCTATCGTGCAATTTGCGCAGCCTGACGAGGCCCAGAAGGCTTTCAAGGGCATGGCATACCGCAAGATAGGTGATTCTATCTTGTTCCTGGAGAAAGCACCGAAGAATTTGTTCGATGGTTCAGCAGCTCCACCCACACTTGCTCCAGAGACTCGGGGCAAGGATCAAGGTTTCTCAACTGCAGACACATTTGCCGCAGATGAGCCTGATGACAGCGTAGCAACTACGACACTCTTCGTAAAGAACCTGAACTTCTCGACCACCAATGAGAAGTTCCTGGAAGTGTTTCGATCTCTGGATGGCTTTATCACTGGCCGCATCAAGACCAAACCTGATCCCAAGCGACCAGGGCAGACCCTCAGCATGGGATTCGGCTTTGCGGATTTCAAAACCAAGGGTCAAGCCCAGGCTGCTCTTTCAGCTATGAACGGCTACAAGTTGGATCAGCACGAGCTTCTCATCCGCGCATCCCATAAAGGCAAGGATGCCGCCGAGGAGCGGAGGCGCGAAGATACCGCGAAGAAGGTTGCGGCGCGGAGAACCAAAATCATCATCAAGAACTTGCCGTTCCAGGCCACGAAGAAGGACATTAGATCTCTCTTCGGGGCATACGGACAACTTCGGTCTGTGCGTGTTCCCCAGAAGTTCGATCACACTGCTCGTGGTTTCGGTTTTGCAGACTTCGTAAGCGCTCGCGAAGCGGAAAATGCCATGGACGCGTTGAAAAACACGCATCTTCTGGGGAGACGATTGGTTTTGGAGTTCGTGAACGAGGAGGCCGTCGATCCCGAGGAGGAGCTCGCGCGCCTAGAGAAGAAGGTAGGAGAGCAGATGGACAGGGTCAAACTTCAACAGCTTACTACTGGCGCCGGGCGCAAGAAATTTACTGTAGGAGGGCAGGAGGAAGAGTGAAGCCCTCGTTCCTTCTCCCTTTGACAAGGACACGGCCATGGATTGGCTCGTTGACATCCCTTGCAGGGAAAAAAGGTGGATTAATGTCCCATGTACGATTACTTGCATACTACCATAGCTACAAGGTGGAAATAAAAAGATACCCCGAATACTGTTGAACACGTTCTTTGCAGCTGTCAATTACCCTGCAGTCCCGTCCTCGTGCGTCTCGTGCCCTCTTGATCCAGGCGTAACCGTAACCCTACTTTACCTTACTGTGCAACACCTTTCTTTTCTACCCCACAACTTCAGCTAAACCGCCTTGGATCGCAGGGTCATTTTACCTAGCTTAGCTTACTCTTTTGATGGTACGCAGGACTATCATCAACAGAGATCAGCCAAGCCTGCATTCCGGTGGTGATGTCTGGCGGTGGTCGAGCATTCCACGTCCCGTGCCAGAAGACAATGTAGTTGGACCATCAACATTCCTGCAACGCCATGATTGCCACTGATTATTGCGATCTTTTGTTGATGCAGGTCCGAGCGATGGATGTTCAAGGTCACTTCGTGCTGCACAAAATCTCCGACCCACTCATCACTGGTTCGTGCTGCTGAGCATCCCTTGCATCCTAGACAACTTCCTTCATATCGAGCCCTGTCTTGACTCCTGATTTGCTGCGGCAGGGTCGGCTTGCCGTCGTCCTTTGGTTCTCTGCTCTCCACACAGCGCGCGCAGGCCAGGACCGGGACCTGCCCAGGAGTATGGACAAGGCGTTCGAGGGACGTAGGCCAGGCAAAGAAGACCTGGCGGAACAATGTCGCTACTGGGGCTACAGTACCCCTCTCCAAAGGGGAGTAATGGTTCCATATAAACACCATCTTGCTCGCTCCCACATTCTCTTTCCCAGGTTCTTACATTCTCTTGACATCTTGCGTTCTTGGGTCGTTGTTTGTGACTGAGCTGCGTTCTTTGCCAGGGAGTAAGCATTTGACGGTGCCTCTCAGTTCCCCTCCTCATTGGAATCTGTCATTCTTTTCGAGAAGCCCGTCCTTGGTTCCCTCCCCATGGCTACTGACTGGCAACCCGAGTGCCTTGTCACTCAGAACCAGCCGTCACTGGATCCTGTGGGAGCTCATTCTGATCGAGCTCTGCAGAATACCACTGGGAATGTCCAGTCTTATTCAGACCAATTGGCTCATGCTGGTGTCACTGCTCGCGATGATCAGTTTCATCAATTTGGCTTCAAGTATCCTCATGTCCCTCATCCTCAACCCTTATCGGCACCTGGCTTGCATCAACAGCATGTAGCGGCTCGGCTTCATCAACGGAAGCTTCGCAGGCTTCACTCGGTTGGACCCAACTCTCAGTCCCGCCGGGCACAAAGCAGCTACCTCAAGTCTCAGAAATACATGGAGTACCGACGTCGCCCTCGTCGTGATACTGGGAAAGATGGAGAGCCAGTGTGGTCTGATGAATTGGAAGACGCTTTCCAGCAGGGTAGGATCATACCACCATAGTGATACATGAACCAGAGGCTAACAACCGATTTCAGCTCTCGAAGCAAACCCTCCCATGGGTCGAAGAAAGTGGTCCGAACGTGGCAAGTCATATGGCCGCAACGAGCTGATTGCTGAGTATATCTTCAAATTGACTGGCAAGCGGAGGACACGCAAGCAGGTGTCAAGCCATCTGCAGGTCCTCGACTCTTTCTTGAAGGGCGATCCCGATTGTGAGTTCTCAAATATGAAAGATGTCTACATCTTCTTTTTAACACAGTATGCTAGGGGAGCGACTTGTCCGTGAGCCAGCATTAGAACGATCATCGAGTGTTCATGGCTCAGCACCTGCTCCGAAATGGAGAACGGCAGTAGAGCACCCTTC